TTTCAAAGAGTCTCTGGATAATAGAATGGATAGAATTTTGATTCGTAAGAATGTCTGTGAATTTATGAAAGAGAACTTGAGTTTCTCTAAAACTGGCATCTTGATCTTTACAGACAATCGCAATGGAAATTTTGTGTTTCTGACTGTTAGGAAGGAAGAACCGCGTTGCATTACTGTGCTGCTTGCAAGGATCCTGCGCCGATTTGGGATGTTCTCATAGAAAACGACAGTGACGCGAGCATTATCGACAAAAAGGGCAATCCGGCAGCATATTATTTGGAACATAGTTCGGAGATCGAGCTACCGGAAGCGGAGACCATGTCCCGCCGGAGGACCAGTTCTGGCAAGGAATGTGAGTGATTTTCAAATATCAACAGGCACCAATTCGTCGTGAAACTTGGACCGCTTGCGTTGAAATAAATCCAATGCAAAGTGAAAACTGAAAGATTTCACGTGAATTGGGGATCGTTCGAATTTCTAATAAATTTCACATCGTACGATTGACAAATCAATTGAAAATAGCTGGGGAAATAGATCAAAGACAACCTTGCATCGTGCACTTCGCACAGTTACACATTCCTTGACTTATACCCTATAGAATCTTCTCGGTAATGACCCGGAAGAATCGATAGAGCTTAAATTTGTAAAGCTAGGAAAACCGTTTTTCGATCGATAGGATGACATGCTCTGGCCAACGAATGACCAACGAATTATTTATGAATCCTCGAAAATCGCAATAAATCGCAATAAGTCCTATTGACTTAAGAATAGTTTTCTCTTTCATTGCTAAGTCATGAAACACAACGTTAGACGGATTACGATCGAAAGTATACTTTGATACTGATTTTTTAGTTAACTCAGACTAAGTTCAGAATAAGTTTGTATCCTATAATAAGGTTTTTCTTCGAAAGGAAATTACAAGTTGTCGCGTGTTGTAAATATTTCGTTTGAGAATTGACAAGCATGTTTGTTTCCTCAGAAACTTCTGTGACATTTTTCCATTATCTATTCGAAACTGTATACTAAATTGTCCGGAGAAAATGTGAAGAACAAATAAAGTTGAAGGTGAATCAATGGCGACTATGATGGCAACAACAATTTTATTGAAATAGATTGTAAATCCTTCACAATTTGTTCAAAGTGTTTTCAACGCTTCTTTCAATTCGTTTGCGAGAAACGAGAATTAATCGTCCTTGATTTCTATTCAAATCATTTCAAACTTTCGAATTTTCTTTCAATTGATTGGTTTTAAACTGAGGTGCTCGATGAATTCCGCCTCCTTCATCTTTAAAAAAAAAAGGAAAACACTCGTTGAATAATTAATAATCTTTGACAAAAGACTTCAAGTAAAACGAGGTCGTGTCACTCTGAATCGTGGACATGGCCTTTGCAGAATTATTGAAATCGGCAGTGAGACTATTACTTACTTACAGGGTATTTTACGTGATAACTTATGCAAACTCAGAGTGCAATGCGTATAGTGTACACCGCCATTCCTACCAACATTGATTGATCTATTTACCAAGAAAGCAAAGGATACGTACATGAAACGTGTATAAACGTGTCAGTTAGTGACAGGGTCCGTGCACTCGGTTAGCTTCTCAAAAATTTATCAATCCATCGGGTCATGCGAAGTGGAACGTCATCCTTGGGATGCAAATAAATAATTTCCATTAAATCAAATTCTTGTAAAATTTCAGAATTTAGTAATTTGAGTTTAATTTGAATTTCTTTCCAAACTTCCACAACGGCGAATTTTATTTCTCCCCATTTGAATCGTCGCGGTGATAATTTAACAATCACGAATCAATTTAAATTGTATTAAATTAATATTCAAATCACGAAGTGACCCGTTGTGTTAACTCAGTCTGCTGAAAATCACGAGTAAGAGATTCGATAGGCAAAACAAAAATTTAATTGCCGAGTTTTCGTTCTAAGCTCTCATGGCAAAAACTCAACAATTCTTAGCAGAAAGTCGATATCCACTGGCATCAGAAGCTCCCTGAATATCTAAAATATTTATCACATTTTCTCAACACGCGACGTGCAGTTGCAAATCTTGTCACTTGTAAATCCTTAATGAAGCAGTTATATCTTGGAGAGAAAAGGTCACGTCGTTGTTTTATACTTGTTTCACGTGCTTGTATACGAGCTGCACTTTCGATTCATATTTGGTAAAATTCTACCAGTCTGATCAGCTGTAAACCAGTACAACACGTTTACTGAATACTTTAATGAAGCTCACTGCGCTACTAGATTACAGAACAAACACGGTCGAAGTGAAATTAGAAAGAGAGTAAATAAAACAAAACTTCGAAAATAAGACAATACTCAAATAATTGACTAGCGAAACATGTCTTCCTCCAGTATTGGACTTCAAACCTTCCAATATAAGAATATGGATTCACAATCGGGATATAGGGAAACTCCAACAAGTTTTATGGGAAGGCCACGGAAACAAATTACGTATGGAAACCAGCAACAATTCACGAGTAAAAAGATTTTTAGAGGCTGTACCGTTCATAATGGTTCGTATTGGCGTTGAAGTTTCTATTACAAACCTTCTGTATAAACGATACTATTTAAAAATATTCCTTGGTACGATTTGAACAAAATTTGCTTTACAGAGTACAGCAAAAGATGTTCACGCAGCTACAGTGAACAACGACTTAGAGGGACTTCGAAAGAAAATCGAAGCCACATCACCCATCATTCTCTGCGCCAAAGATAGCAATGGTCTAAATGTCTTGCACAAGGTACATTAATTAATTAGTTGAGGTAGTTTTATTGCCTTTATCTTTCTTATTGACCGAAACGTTGCAACAATTAACAGGCTGCTGGTTTGGGTCACACGGAAATCGCACGAGAGATTCTTGCAAAATATCCTGCTGTCGTGGAGGCACAAGACAACGAAGGGAAGACGCCGTTGCATTATGCAGCTGCAGCAAAGGACGATGGAACTTTATATAATTTGATAACGGAATACGGGGCCGATGAAAGCAAACTGGATCACGTGAGTCGTAATCTAAAAAAAGAAAAAAGTAACGTAAAAAAAGAAAAAAAGAGATGACTTGACTCGTAATGAAACTTAGAGATATATTAGAGGAAACTAGCTATTTTCTTTTCCGTGACAGATGAAATATTTTAAAAGCAACCTTTCTACGAAGGGTAGGGTAGTCTAACATAATTTGCAATGATTAAATTAAATTTATCAATCAGAAACAAAAAGCGCCGGCATTTTACAAAAATCGACCGTCAGACGTAGACCAGTCACTGTTAACTGTGATACCGGAAGCGCCTCGAGTTGCCGGAACATCGTACCCCAAACACTGGGACTGGAGGATTCTAGAAGCGGAGGACGCTATATCCAGAGGAATGAAAAAGGTCAGCAGTGCGGATATCGACAGTGCGTTTGGCAGTGCGGAATCGACAACGAAGCATTTCAGTAGATCTATGGAACAGGTACTACATACAGTACATTTCTTCTATTAAATACGATTTACAATTAGGCAAATTTTCTCAAAATGAGGCGTGATTTCGAGATACTCTTTCTACAAAACTGTCAAAAACAATGTGATTAAGAAAGAATTTTGAAAGTCAGGTTAACTAATCG